TCCAATTCGTAACGCTAGTCGGAAAAAAATTGAAATGAAATACGTCCATCATGCTAACTACCTGTTAGCCAAAATTCCGGATTTCTAATCATATTTACCGAGTTATTAGAACACCGTGAGAAAAATGAACACTCATAGACCGGAAGTCAAATTCATTGAAATTTAATTGGCAGTTTAATGTCGACCAATTATCGAAAATCAATCAGAAATTCAAGACAATATTCCCTTCAGTTTTTAAGATTCGCATTCTGATATCCTGAGGGAGTCAAAATTCGATATTGAATTCAGTGATTGGCTTTTCAGGAGGAATCAATCTTAAAAGACAACTTGTACTCCAAAGGAAAATCTGCTAGAAAGTAACCCCAAATGTAACCTTCCTTTTATCAGCAGTCAACACCGCTCACCCGTTTTTCTCCACAACCACTCTTACTTTTCCGAAAAAATTTCTCGCTCAACCTCAAGGCTCTACTATCAATATATAATTCTCGCGAAAAAAATCCTTTTTTTCACCTCTTTAAATTCCGAGAACGGCACCCCATGGTTTTCTGGCTTTTACGATGTAATTTGAGGCCAATAAGGTAGTGCCTATACCGCCCACCTAATGAATAACAATAATTCTTGCATTCAACTCATGATTTCGGTTAAAAATTACAGTCGTATAACATTCTTCAGCTATTCCGCTAGCTATTTTGACATCATAGACTCTCAATTCTTCTTGAAATTTTGATAAATTATCAACCAACGAAGACGAGAGTTGAGTGAGCGGTATTGGCTGCATGCGAAATTTCACCAAGACGTGAGGGTCTATGATGTCAAAATATCTATCTGAATAGCCAAAGAATGCTGTGCAACTGGAATTTTTTACGAAATCATGGATTGCGCTGCGAAAATTGTCGTTATTCCTTAGGTGAGCGGTATAGGCGCTACCTCTCCTAATCGTAGTACAAAATTGAATAGTCCACACGCTGACAGTACAAAGTATGAAATTCATGTGAATAGTTAAAACTTGTATATTTTATGTTTTTCGTTGTGCTGAAACGGAATTTGTAACTTAGTCCGCAACCGAGTTATGCATTCAATAATTATTAACAATTTAATGCGATTTATGCCGCCATTTTGATGGATATCAAATATTTTATTTAAACAATATTCCTGGAAATCTAACGTACAGAATGAATTTCGATTTTTGAAAATCAGTTAATTTTTGCGGAGAATATAAGAGTTTGCAACAATTGGGCGGCGATGTCACCTCTGACGTGCGGCATGACGTATGCACCCATTGGGCCTTCAGAGCCAAATGAATGGATAGAATATTCTTGAAGAAGAAAAACCCTGAAATAAAAAAGTTTGCTCAAAAGATAGTAAATATATTTGGTATTACCCCCAGGCTATCTACTCAGGTAAACCTTAGATGTGTTAAGGTATCTTTAAGCTATCAATCAAAAACATAGTTTCAAAAAATTCGGTGGCACACGCATTCGAACTCAGATGGGGTATGACCACATCGTCATACCGGATTGGTGCTCTAACCAATTGAGCTACCGAGGCCTCCTCCTTACTAATTTCTGCATTGATAATTATTCTATTGGATTATGAAGTTTAAAATAAGAAACACTTTTTATCTATGTGAACACTTTAATTGAAAAATCCCCAAGACTTTACGCAGTCAGAAGGTAGTTGACACTATGAAAATCTACGAGACTAAAGATGGTTGTTAGTGAGGCCCAGGGTTAATATAGACCCAGGAGGGCAAAATAATTTCCACCCCCTGAACCAACGCTCAGTATTTCCCTCTTGACCCCGCCTGGTCGCCACGTGTACTTGTGGGAAAAACCCACATTCGGGAAAAATCCATCAGTAAAAGTCCCGAGAGGACTTTTCTCCATTTTACACTCTCAAGGAAGACCCCATAGCAATATAAAGCAATACAGGGTGTCCCATAGGAATGTGTGAAAACTGTTTGATTATTTTTTTTTTACTGGAAACAGGGAAAAAGAGAAGGAATCCAGTTCCTGATAGAGGAGAGTTGTCATTTTTATTTCACCTTATATTCATTATTCAAACATGTAATTTACCCAACAAAAATAGTAGCTTACAAAAATTGTACGTGACAAGTGCGATTAATAGTAAATGTTTTCGAAATGAGAGCCATCAACACTGGCGCAATAATCCAAACGTTTCCTAAAATCGTGGAATACACGTTCTAATGTTTCCTGTGGAATACCGTGAACAGTTTTTTTAATGTTGTTTATCAAATTTTCGATTGTTTTTGGCTTGCTTGCATAACAAGAATCTTTTATGTAACCCCACAGGAAATAATCAGACGGATTCAAATCTGGTGAATAGGGTGGCCAATCTATTCCCCCTGCACGAAATTTTGTATATCCCAAACCAAGAACTCGACCGCGATAAACTGTATTAAGAATTTCAAAAACTTCGTGAGTATGGTGGGGAGCTGCTCGATCCTGCATAAAATAAAACCCATTGACAAGCCCTCTTTTTCCCGCATGAGGGAAGAATTTTGTTTCTGACATTCTTTTGTACTCATTCCCGGTAACGGTAGATTTGAAAAAATGTAGATAGACACCATTCATGGAGAGAGCAGCCCAAACAGCGACTTTCTGTGGATGAGCAGATTTCGTAACCAAAAAATTAGGGTTTTCAGATCCCCAAAATCTCAAATTATTTTTGTTCATGTAGTTGTCTAGCCAAAAGTGTGCCTCGTCAGAAAAAACAATTGCTGTTTCATGCAGCTAGCCATTTTCGAACATTCGTGTCATTCTTTTACAAAATTCCTTTCTTCTCAGAATCGCCTCCTCTGTCAAACGCTGACACATGAATATTTTATATGGATGAAGTTTCAAAAAAACGTGGAGGATGTGATGCAACGTTGATTTGGTCAATTTTAAATCTTGAGCGGCTCTTCGAATGGACGAGTTGGGATTTGCCTTGAAATACTGTTCAACTTAATCGACGGACCCATACATCGTATAGACCCTTTCCGTCAACAGTAAAAAATTATTTTCTCGAATTCTAAGACACATATTGACATTTGGAAAAAAAATTTGGAAAGTCAATAAAATTGTTTGTGCAGTGAGTTTATTGATTTTTTTTTCTCAATGCATTTTTTATATATTTTTTTCATATCAACAAAGTCGTGGATGAAAATACTATTTTGCTTCGATTTAATCATATTCAATCATCTCGTTTGTCGAGAAAATTTTACAGAAAATTTTTGGAATTTTTGCTGAAAATATTTTGACGACCTTCCTATCGAATAGCACAAGTTAAATTTCAATTCATTGAATAATGTATTTGTTATAAAAAAATTCAGCGAATTTGGAGATCTCGGCGAAAAATTGTCCTGGAGATAAATCGGTGTGACTTGAATGCGGAAAAAACAGAATTCTCAGGGCGTTTATTTCAAATTTCAATTCATCCAATGCATTTTATTTCAAGTTTTCTGGATCACCTGTTTTCGAATTATTGCTGATTAAACAATGAAATTGGCGCGTCGTCGTAAGCCTCCCGGCCGTTGGGAGAAGACGCGTTCTAGGGACCCCGTACGTACACATCTAAGGTTTGACTGAGTAGATAGCCCGATAGTTCTTTATACGATATATATATATATATATATATATATATATATATATATATATATATATATATATATATAT